TGAACGAGTTGCTTATTCTGTGAAGGCGAGTAGCATGAACTATTAAATTATTTTTGTTCTTAGTATTTCGGGAGTGAACATCAGACAATTTGACAAAATCAGGTTAGTTTTTGTGAACATAAAGTAAATTTTCAAAAATATATTGTATATATAAGTCACAGTCAGAATGTTTATCTCTTTGAATTTCTCTCGGAGAGAAACTCTAGGACCTAGGTTATACAGGAGCAAACCTTAAGTTTAATGTGAAAAGTGATAAAATAAATAAAAGTACTTTAGTAAGTGGACTTAAAATTAAGTAATAACAATGGGAAGGAATAAGACTTAACCGTTTATTAGCTTAAATAAGACTAGATTACAGAAGAAAAAAGAGAATCAAAATGCAAAGTAAAAAAGTAAGTCTGATTAAAAGTAGTCATGCTAAAGGCCCTAATTTCTTAATAAACTTGTTCAATAAGAAAATCATACCAGCTGCTTTTATGTAACAAAAAAACATTTGAGAATTAATTTTATACTTATTTACACTTATAAAGGAGTGTATGCAAGAAAAAATTACAAATACCTTAGTTTGCGATCCATCTACATCAGTATCATAAGACTCTGCGATATCATTTGACGTGACCGGGATGACATCTTTAGTAGTACTACATACAGTTTTTCCATTCTGATTACTACTTTCAGTTTTATCACAACCTTTAGAGTTATCTTCACTGTTGTCAACATCATTTATTTCCATACTCTCATGAACTGGATACTCACCATTAGACATTTCGTTATCATTTTGCTTAGAATCACTTTCATTGTAGTCATTAAGTTTAAAAGCAGCACTCAAACGGGAATCAGCATCCATAGAATCAGTAGGAAAGTTTACTGCCATATCTCCTACATCAAAAGAATCTGTGTTGTAACCTTCAGCGTTGCTTTCTAGATAATCGCCTACGCTACCGGCAGACAATTCAACTGCGTTAAGAAAACCCTGGTTTGATACGGACGACTCGTCAACGGCAGCATCAACGCCGCTAAATTCTCCATCTGTGAGCAAATGTGAGAGCCCGTTCGAGTTCTCATTTATCAAGGGACTTTCATCTGTTTCCATGGGGTTTTCTGATAAACAGTTCTGCAAACAAATGACCATGAATGCCAATACTCAACTTAAACAACTTTTAAATAGAAATTTCTATAACCTCAAATAAATAATATGTACACACCTGTAATTCTGAACTTGCGTCGTCTTCCATTTTGATTTTCTCTCGTTATTTTATAATTAAGCCAGCACACTTAAACCTTGTTAATCTTTAAACAAAATAACTTATTGACAAACAGACAAATTATCTGAAAATTATCAAAACTTAATTTGAACATATACTAGTAGTTATATACATCAGTCATCGATATGTATTAGATTTTTTTTTTAAGTTTATGGCCTGGTATCTAGACCTTTAGGCCAAATATGTATTAGATCATAGATGCTAGTCACAGAGTATATCATCAATTCTTTACTAGTCCTAGTCTATATTCTACAAGAAATGGGATAGTGGTAATGTTACTGTGCGTTTTCCAATTACAGCACTAGAGCGCATTTTGCGGCATAATGCTCAACGTTGAGTGTTCCAACTTCCAACTACAGCAACGCTTCGCACAATTGAGCACTCTCAAAACGAATGCTCTCGCAAACAATACCAACACAGTGACAGAAAATTGACCAGTATTTTTTTTTAAGTTGGCATTTATCGAAATTTTCGTTAGTAAATATTATATTTTATTGTTGAAAAATTTGTAAGGCTTTCGTTTCGTCGTAGATTTTGAAAATAATTAAAGTTATTTCAAACTGCTAAAAAAATAAATATTAGTATGGATGAAGGTATAAATAGTTACTTTTTTTATATTCCACATTTAAAATATGAATAAAATTTTATTTTAAAATTCGGATCTGTAAACAAATTTACTTTACAAGATTATACTTTAGAAAAAATTGCAATGGTTTTGAAAAAGTATATATTTTTTTAGAAATCATTAAAAAATATTACTCAAAACGTAAATGATGTAAACTTCTTACATGAAACTAAATATTTTACTGTTTATTTAGCTTGTTAAAACCTTATATTCTTTAAAGGTTTTCTCTTATTTCAGTAAAAAAATTTAATGAAATAATTTGATTATTAAATTAAGCGTAAAAAGTTTTCAACCAATTATTATTGTTTACCACATTATTTATACATTAATGAGGTTGCTAACTCTATTCAGATCATTTTTTTGTCAACACTACTTAGCGCACTCTGCTGATGCATTTGAAAACTAATTCACGTTCCAATTAAGCTTCAGCATTATGCGGCATTGTGCGGCACTGAGTCGCAAAATGCTCTGTAATTGGAAAACGCACACTATAATTACAGTAGATTCAATGTATTTTACTGCGTTTATCGTATATTAATATACAAGTCCCTGGAAGCAATGGCAGGAGAGTAGAATAGGTTTTTCAAATATAAAAAAAAAAACATCTTCAATTCGGTAGATCAATTCAAGTAGGTAGATCTAGCAACTATAATTTCGAGTTTTATATAAAATCCTACCCTGAGATGTGCTACCTTTAATTCATTTTTTTCGTAAAAAAGTAATCACTAATAGTATTAAAAGAGTACCGAGAGTTTTTTACGCAGGCTTTTTCTTTCGGCCTACACCCTCTGTCTTCTTTGCCGATGAGTAGGGGTGCCTACAAATTCAAATTTAATGACGTGGAATAAGTGATACATGTTTCTTATGTTCTATAATAAACATATTTTATTTTATTATGGTAAAAAAATGAATATTAACTAAAAAAATTGACAATATGTTATAGATTGAAGAGATCAATCTAACATAATTTACTTGACAATGGGGGCCGAAAACTGAAATTTATAATCCAACCTTCATATTCTGGTTCTTTTTCCCAGAATTTTGAATATTTTTGATCATAATGAATTTTCCTCAATTTTCGTGGAGGAGAATTTTCTTCATTTTCACTTTCATTACTAATCATTTTATTTTTTAACGTTTAGATAGACCAACAGTACTAAAATACTTTATTTAACAACATTCAAGGCTGCGCTTTACATATCAAAATATATAGTAAGTTCATGAGAGTCTTGAAGTTAGTCATTAGTCGAAACTCGCAATAAATAAGCCGAGGTTTCTTATTGGCTGATGTATATCGATATATTTCTACTATCAAGAACGCAAAAGCGCGCTGTTTTTAACTTATTGTAACAATATAAAAATTTATAAACAAAAAGTTGGTGGATTTTCTTTATAAGGTAAAGTAGATTTGAGAAAAATCCTAAAAATTGGTAGATCTACCTACAACTTGATAGATTTACCTAAAAAGTTGGTAGATCTACCTTAAAGTCGGTAGAGTTGGCAACGCTGAGTACAGTAGTCAGTAGCAGTACAATGTAACCTGGTATTGGTGGTAACGACATAGCAGACCAACTAGCAAATGAAGCTGTTAAGGATGGCGATGGTAACTCGTATAAAAATTATTATCATGATTTGGCCTCACTTCCTGCTTCTTTTCTTCGACAATCTTGGACTGACCTTTGGATTCAGAGCAGTTTAATTAAGGGTAAATTTTTTTCATCTATACAGCCCACAATACCACTAAAGCCATGGTTTTTTAAAATGAAATTTAATAAAAAGGAAACATCGTCTCTCATTCGTATGAGATTGGGCCATGTGTGTGTACCCCAGCCCACCTTTCCAGATTTCATATTATTGATAGTGAAATGTGTAAGTGTGGGCTGAATATTGGTGATTTAAACCATATCATTCTGTTATGTCCCCGGTATAACCACTCCATGTATTCGATCATTCTCATCCTTCTTCTAGTATCCCGTTACCTACATCTGTTCCTGTTCTGCTTTCATCTTTAAATCATAATATTTATAAAAAGTTATGTTTATTTCTTACTGTAAATAATATAAAATTATAAATACATATGTATACAAATCGTATTCTATATGATATATATTTTATTAATTACTGTTCCTTTCCATAATGTAGTATTTTGTATTAGAGATAGTTTTATATCCTGCTGATCCTATCCTTTATCGATGTAATCGACGTGAAATTCTTTTTCTTTACTATTCCGTTTTCCTTACCTTTGTCTGTGGCAATACGCTCTGCGTGAGGCTATTAAAAAAAAAAAACAATGTAACTAATTTGTCAATTGTCTAATTTTAATTTATTTATTAGCCGGATACTCAATTGTCTAAACTAGAACTGTGATGCCAACAGTGATGAGGGGTTAATCCCCCAAATTTAGGGGGAAAAAGATGTCTAGGGTGATTTTAAGGGGAATATTTATTTAGGTGGATTTTTATATGGTCCTTTTAAAAACTTTAAAAAAAGCACGTTTCTATACAATTTATATCCTCGAATCAACCTAACTAAATATAAAATCCAAGCGTGGCTATAACTAATGCCCCAAGATCGAAATAATAGCTCAACGGTTCGAAAAGTACAAAAATCTCTAAAAATAATGTATGAAAAGAAAATGAGGAAAGAGCAAAAAAATATATCCAAGAAAAGTTAGATAAACTAAATTTAAAGAAAGACAATTTAAGAAATACAATCATTATACATATTAGCATCATTGATGAATACATGTAAATGTGTAAAATGCACCCACATAACTACAACAGCTATTTTATACTACTTAAATGTATATTTAATTCGTATTTGAAATTAATTCTCAAGGTTTGTAGTCGATATGTAGGGATATTTGAAGTTGGTCCTAGGGGAACACTCTGCTGACTTCTGTAGGAGTTGGCAATTGGCATTACTATTCATATTTCATTGATTAAAGTTACTACATACATGATACAAGTATACACTACTCTTGCCTATAACTAACCACAAATTAAATTTCTTGCCTAAAATTTCAATCGTTTTTAAAACTTAAATAGGGATTAGGGACCTTAGACAGAAAATACGTCGACTCGCCGTCGTGGACGTTTTAACTTTTAAAAATGTTGGGATTACGTGCTTTACTAAATAAAAGTACCGTCATAGAACAAGCTTCATTTTTCCAACAAACTAGAGTGAGCAAATTTTTTTATATAATTGTTATGCATCTTAATGTACATATTACCCTTAATCTTATATTTGACAGAATACGTTCATCCTTAAGAGACGATGGCCACCACCACTGCACAAAAAGAATGGAAGAGTACCGAAATTAAAAGCAAGGCATTTTGTTTATGATTTAATTGAAGATACGAATGTTAATAAAAAACCTGATTTAAAAGTAATATTAAATCAATTTGTTGACGGTAAGTAATAATTATGAGGACAATTGTAATAATTAATCAATTGATTAGAAATCTTTTACATGGGGATATAGTTGCATTGTTGTACCAAAATCCTTCCTGCCCAGTCCTTGATCCTTTGCAATTAACTATATAATCTGTTCTGTTGCCACATATAAATAGTGTTATTACATTTTAGCAGTGGGCACTTGTCATAATGAACAAAGTACTACTTGTACCACCACCAAATATGTACCCATTACAACTTCAGAATAATGTAGCTTACATGACCAAATTTACTATAGTTTTATATATATTTATAGAGAACTACTTTGCATTTTATAATTTTTATTTAAATATATAATTTCAGGTGCTGGCAATGTCGGAGATATATTAAGTTTGCGTCCTAATGTTGCATATAAAGAATTTTTACTTCCTGGTCTTGCTGTATATGCAACACCGGACAACTTACTAAAGTACAAAGCTGCTGAAAATAAATCAAGGGCATCATCTGATTTTAGTTCCCCTTATGTCCAAAGAGTAATTTTTTTTATATTCATCTTAACATCTGTTATATAATACTTATGCTTAAACCAAATTTTATATAAAAACTTATTTCAGACAATTAACTGTTTATCTCGAATAGTTTTACAAATAACTATGAATAAGACTACACCATGGAAACTTGAGTCTTGGCATATTAAAACATCATTGCGAAAAGCTGGTTATATAGTACCCGAAGAGGCTATTATAATGCCTCCAAAAGAAATCACAGGACCAGATTTAACTTTACAAGAAAAGGAATTTTTCATTACAGTTAAAGTGAGATTGACTTAATATGACATTAATTAGAATTTTACTCTTTATTAAAATCTATCTGTATATTATTATTATATTTCAGATAAATAATAAAGAAGAAGTAAATGTAAGATGCCGCATCCACCATTGGGCTACAGGTTTAGAGAGGCTGCCTTGGGAAGAGTTTCATTGGAAAAAGCCTTTAGAGGCTCTTTTTCCAGAACAAGCTGAAATTTTAGCAAAAATGACTCTACCTGAATGAGGATATTTAACCATTAGGGTTTTTATAGGTCATAAATTATTGAAATATTTTGTTTGTTTTTTTTAGCATGAAAACTTGAAGCTGGTAAACGTTTTTAAGTATTAGGGTGTACTATCATCACTGTTTACATAAACTTAAAAGAAATGGAACAAAATAAGAAACATCTTAGATAATGCTAATAGTATAATTGTTTGTAATGAAAAGAAAAGTTTAGCAGCGTGCATAAGTAAATCTCAAACTCTTCCTATTTATGTGTAATCCCAGAGAAGAAGATATGCCAAGACATTATTAAATTCTGAAAAAAAATAAAACGTAAATGAATATATGTTTTACCTGGTACCTGAAGCCTAGTTAGCTCTAGGTTCTCAAATGCAAGGGCTAAATGCGAGTAAATTAACTGTACTGAGCCTCGGGTTTTTCGTGAATTTAATTTGTAAAATACATGCTATTAAGTAACAAGTAGAAATTAGCTTGTAGGCGCACAGGAGGCAACCCATAACAGCAGTGAGTTTAAAGGCTTGGAAAACGATATTGACGGCGGCGAATGCTGTGGAGACCAAAAAATACTTTATGGAAGGCTGAGGTTTCAGGTTCGAATTCTTTCTCGAAAAATATAAAAGTCCCTCATTCTAGCCCTAAGAACAATTTTGATATGTAAATTCGTAATTTTAAAAAAAAACAATTAATTTACAAGATTTTTTTAACGTTAAAATTCAATACTTGTATAACTACAAACTCTTAATTTACCAAAGCAAATTATTTAATAGCTACAACATTCAAATAAATTAAGTCCAGAAAAAAGGTTTTCGTATATATAATATATATATATCTCGGGTTGGACTGTCTGTATCTGGGTGTAGTTTGGAATTTGGATATCATTAAATAGAGAAGTCTTTAAGAATATAACTTAAAAGTTTTCCACCATTTTAATATTGTTTTGAGGTATGCCATAATAAGTGGAATTTACATTCTGAAGTTGTGAACAAAATGGGGGCTGGAGGGTTTTTGCATCCACTTGGTGCAAATAACCTTCTATTTGCTTTGCTTCGACTAAATCAAGTTAGGATTGTTTCGTCGAGGCCGCTCGGCTGGTGGTGTTGCCTATCTGACTCGTAGGTGGACCGGAGCTGTGGAAAGCAAGGGAGAGGCATTGGCCGCTAGCTTGGATATAGCTATTAAGATAAGATAAATCCTTCGATTGAGTTCTTGCATGGCGCACTTCTGTCTAAACTACCGGGTTGGCCAATGGCTGGCAATTTTCTTGTAGGACGTAGCACTACAGTCCTAGTTGACGGAGCGTGCTCCAATCCTAGACCCATCAATGCAGACGTTCCGCAAGGTTGTGTTCTCTCGCCCACCCTGTTCGTTCTGCACATCAATGACCTGTTGAACATCGACAACATGCATTTCTATGCAGACGACAGCACCATCGAAACATTATATTCCGGCCATCCGAGCATGTAACAAAATTGTTTCCAAAATTGAAACGATACTGAAAAGTTTCTGTGTGGGGTAGTAGCAACACAGGTAGTATAGTAGGTAGTGTTTTCTGCCAAGAAAGATCCTTTTTTCTCCTCAATTGGAAGGCGCTCTCCTTAGTACTTCACACAGCCTCTGTATGCTTGGGGTTGGCATATCGAAAGAGGTCCAATTCCGCAGTCATCTGGAAGAAAAGCCAAACTGGCTTCTAAAAAGCTGGATGTTTTGGGTAGGGCTAAGCAATATTTCACTGAGGTACAACGTTTGCGGCTCTACAAGGCTCAAGTACGACCTCATGGAATACTGCTCACATCTCTAGGCCGGTGCTCCCAAATACCAGCTTTTCCTTTTGACCAAATTCAGCGAAGGGCTTGTCGAATTGTCAATGTCCGAAGCATCACAGATCGGCTTGATTCTCTCTCTACGCAGAGACATTGAGTCTCTATGCGTTTTCTACAAAGTGTACTATGGTGAGCGTTCTGAAGAATTGTTTGGGTTGATCCCTCCTGCCTCGTTTCAACACCGTACGACGTATCAATTCAAAATTAAATCAGGATCACCTTGATGACTGGAAATCTTCCACAGTCCGATTCACAAGACACTCTATTTTGCATATTAGCGAACTGTGGAATTGACTCCCAGTAGGGGAGTACCCAGAAAGGGGTCTTCCCTGAGACCTAAAATTGTTCAAAGTAAGAGTGTACTCCTTCCTCAAAGACCGGCACCGCACCCTCTAAAAATGGATGTCCATAGGCTGCGATAACAGCCGTTTTTGGGCGGTTTTTCTTGTTGTCGTCTATTCTCTATATAAAATTAAGAAATATGTAAGTTTTTAAAACTAAAAGTGAGTACTAATTACCTATAACCCAAATGCTAACTACCAGAACTGGCAATAAGCATCATGCAATGGCCTCAATAATATGTTATGATTTATCACCTGACAAAAGATGTCTTCACTCACCACGGACGACAGACGTGTCACTTCTGGTAACTTTTGTGGGTAATATCACTTCATGAAACTCACTGGAATGCTTTAAACTGGCAGTTTTAGTACATTCACGTTGAATGTTATGAACGCTGTCAATATTTAATGGGCTACGACGGATTTGATCGTTCACAGTTTCATCATCTTTTTCCAGGGAATGTTGGATCGGGTTATTTTCTATTTGTACTGCGGATTGATTTTGAATGAAATCCCCTGAAGAACTACGCACGGACGGCTCTTTAGTGTCGTCACAGGCAACTTGTTCCCTGACGGAGTCCATATCTTCGCTGAGTTTGCTGCTACTGGTATTGCTCGGCGGGGTAACGGATTGAATGGCATCTTCACGCTTTAATTGTTTTCGGCGTTCGACGATATCGTAACTAGCGGGAGAAGACAGTAAATGCGGGCTATCGTCCATAGATAAATCCATGGATGTCGTCAAACTCTCATCTCTCCCAGTGAAATTATCTTTTTCGGGTACTATGTGAATGTTTAAAACAGTTTTCGTCTTTTGGGGATCGTTATTTTTTTCCAAAGATGTACAAGAAAACTCTTTAGAATCTATGATAGATTCTGTAGAAGTAGGGGTTATGTTAACGTTTAATTTATTTCTTACTAGAAACCCCCTTATATGCGCCTGAATAATTGTCGCTGCACTTGACAAAGTAGAAGAGTCATCCGTGGATAATGATAACGATTTCTCCTCGTTCACAGTTTGAAGTACGGTGTCCATTCTGCTGATTCCCCGACGTTCTTTATTAGTCATATTAATATCATTCTGAAAATAGAGTAGGTATATTTACAATACACGAAAGAGTTCTTATCAGATTTCAATCAGAAAAAACGTTATTAAGAGCAGCCTCTATTGCAGGTTCACAGAAACTACTACAGTATTAACTAATGAAACTTAAAGAGGCAAGTAAAATACAACATTTAAACTAAAACATTGGAAACCTTTTTTCTAAGAAAACAAAATGTAAAAAAACTATTTTCTTTTACCTCCAAATCGTTTTCTTCAATAAAAAGATTGATGTCAACGTTCGTGGCATCATCTAAGCTGGTAGTTTTACTTTTAAAAAGGAAAGTTCGAAAAACTTTCTGAATCGTTATAGCTGCCGTTTCCAGATCCATCTGGTGATGAGCTTCTCCGACACTAGACACGGAATCTTGTTCATCACATACCCTCATCTTTACCGCGTTCTGAGAGAAGTTAACGCTTTCGAATTTTCCCTCTATAGCGAGTCCAGCGTCGTCCGTTTCTTCTTTAGGTATATTTTGTTCCAAGTCCATATTTTCAATGGTCACTGACGACACGCTATCATCCCGACTCGTCAAGTTATGAAGAATTTTTACGTCTGGTGAACACAATTCTTCAGCGAAAAAGTTTGTATTTTCAATAACGGTGGGGCTTACAACTTCCTCATCACAATTGGTAAATTGGATTCCGGAGACATCTGACGTATTTTCATTTTCAAGTTGGCGCTCGCGACATTCGCCAGAGACAATGATCGGATATGTTATATCATTATCAAATAATTCTTGAGTTATTTCTTCTCGTAGACGAGACGTTTCTGCGGGAAGATTAGGTTGAACTATCTCGCATTTCGCAGCCGACGCATCTTCCGTATTATTTACATCGTAATGTGCGGGTCGCGTCTCCTTATCTTCTAGAAATGCTTGATAATTTTTTTCATAACATTTGCGCCGTTGTATAGCTCTTTCCCTTATTATATTCTGAGCTTTTAAAATTTTCTGTTGCAAAGACGTGGGTTTTTTTCGCTCTAAAAAGATACAGTAACTTCAAAGGTCACAAAGTAAATTATATTTAAAACATTATAATGCGGCGGCACTCACGTGTGTCGTCGCGGATCTGCAGCAGTTTCTTCACGTGGGCCGCACAAAACTCATAAATATCGGACGGGTTATTTCTCAAAACGTCCTCGCTCAGCCCCTCCATTAATTCCAGCAGGCCGGGTGGCATTTTCGGGACGGGGGCCGTGTACACTCGAGATCTGCGGTTATTCATTTTGCACAAACGCAGAGACAAGGAATAATTTAACAACTCCAGTTCCAGTCTCGAAATACGAGCGGAGCCTTCGCGCGAGGGCGGTGTTTGCCTTCGGTAGTCTAGGCGACGTATCCCGCTCGCACGATGATGCCCCGATATCGATTTTCCTGATCGTTAGGGCGACACGACGTCTCGTGAAGGTCGAGAACCGGAGGCCGACGAAGGACAAATAAACAACATCGACCAGCTCTTCGGCCCCGAATAGGTCGTACTACGAAACATACGATTGTAAATTGACGTAGGTCCATTAAATATCTCGATTCCCGCCCGATTAGGTTCGAGCTGAACGTTTCGAAAAATAAAAAACTAAGTTTGGTGAAAATTTCTCGTGTATTTGGCGAAGGGAAACAATAAGAGGTCGGCGGAGTGAGGCGAGTCGAAGCGCGGCCCGCGTACGCGCTCAAAGAATCCCATTTGTGTGAGTCAACTTTTTTATTTCCATACTGTGTACTATAATAGTAATTTATATATAAGATCATATAATTTTTGCAATGTTAATACATTTTACATAACAGACATCTCCATAGTGTACATACATACATTCGCGGTCGCTCGCCGGGCGGCCGGGCGCGTGCCGGACGTACAGAGGCGCCGACGCGAGCGACGATAGAAAATTAACGGCTACAGCGATATCATACAAATTAATGACTATTCCCTTACAAATTATCGGATCTACCGTAGCATTGTTCTACTCCGACGCGACGCACGCGCACCTCTGTACTCGCCGCGCCATCGATTCATAATAAATAAATGCCTATTTATGCCTATTTACACTATGTATCTATACAAAACGATAGGACGACGAAATTACATTTGAATTCAGCATTCGGCATCTAACACGACGCGAAGGTCGAGAGCGCTATTTTTATCATTTTTGTACAATCGAACGAATCGCACGAATCGAACGAATCGAAACGAATCAGCACAGACGCGATACAACTTTAACTTAATTAAACAATTTAACAATATTAAAAATCCTAAAGTAGTCTAGTATCCTAGGGTCGAATATAAAAGGCCTCCCGCGGCGAGGCGAAGCGAGGCGGGGCAGCGGGCGGGGCAGCGGGCGCATCACTTGGCGCGCTTGGCGCCGAGCTGCAGCTCGCCCAGCCGCTTCCACAGCTCGTCGCGCTCCTTCTCGCGCTTCTTCTCTCTGGAAGCGGAAGACGCACGCGTGAGACGATGGTCTCGCTCGAAACGAGAGGAAAACGACAAGAAAACGATCGCCCACTCACTTCTGTCGCTCCGCCTTATAGCTGGCGGTGAGCTCGTCGAACAGCTTCGAGTTCATCTCCATGAAGGTCTTGAGCACGTTGTAGATAAAGGTCACGATGGACTGGTTCCAGTGCTCCTTGCTCATGCGGTACAGCGCCGGGAACATGATGGGCATGATCACCTGATTGTTCTCCTCGATCAGGGACACGATGTACTCGTTGTTCCAGTAGTACAGCGCCCTCTCGGCCACCTGCGGACGGAACGGGCGCGTTTGAGAACGCTCAGACAGAAATCGACCGGAATCCGGGGTCGGAAGTTCTCGTACCTGGAAGTGGGGGCTGGACACGCACTTGGCTATTTGCTTGAACAGCGGCTCCTGTATCTTGACGAACTGAGCCGGCTCGATGACGTCCAAGATCTCCTCGATCTCGCCCAGGAACATCACCTGTTCGGGAAAAGAAAGACATCTCCGTTACCTACCTTTTCACTTCACTTAGCTTTTAATTCCACGCGCGATAAGAATACCTCCTTCTGGGAACAGGTCTTGGGCCAGAACTTGAGCAGGCCGCGCACGACGGGCTCGGTGAGCGTGGCGTCCTTCTCGAGGAACTGCACCACGCAGTAGGCCAGCTGCGCGTGGTACATGGACAGGCTCTTCACCTTGTGCAGCGGCAGGAGCACCTTCACCAGGAACTGCTTGTGCTCGCTCTTCAGCGGCAGCGCGAACCCGTTGATTATGCTGCAACGCACGGCGGCACCGTGAATGTTGGCCGTGAATGGGGACCGATGACCCGGTCGAGACCAAATAGATACCTTCCCAAGATCTCCAGGAGCTCACCGACGCCGTTGAAGTGCTCGGTTTCGTAGACGAATCGCAGGAATATATTGTTGATCTGTTTTCGAATGAACGCTCGGAGACCCAGAAACTTTCCGTAGATACGATGCAGCACCGTTTTCAGAAAATCGCGCTCGCGAGGGTCTTCGGAATCGAACAGATCTAAAAGCTGTTTAAGAAAATATTTAATTTAATCGACCGTTAACTGAAACTTATTAATACAGAAAGACATTGCTCGAACCTTACCTGAAGTGTTCGTTTGGAGGCACGTCTAATTGAGTTATGTTAAACATATTGTGAAATATTAGACAATTGTGCCCATATTTTAGAACTTCTCACTCAGTATATTATAAATACAAATAAAAATATTGGAGACAAATGCATTATACATCCTTATCCCAAAACAGATTGTTTTTGTACATTTGTAAATAATTAATAATTTATTTATTTGTCTTGTAGTAAAGTAGAAAGGAACTTCTAAAACCTACTACCAAATTGTTGAAATGTCAATTTAAAAGTATTTATTAATGTAATGGGATTGTATATCCCATAATTAAGTCATTTGATGATATCATGCACATATATTGTGTTTTACCTGCAATACAAATTTCTGGTCGATGACTTTCTTGCCAATGGTTGGCTGAAAGTTCACTGATTCAAGGAAACGCAAAAAAAACTCATAGACTAGTTGGAGATGCGGCCAAGAGGCCTCTAGAGTCGGATCGTCCTCCTCCGGGTCATAGTCAGGATTATCACTTGGTGGTAGAGTGCGGAACAAGTTGGACGAAATCTGGGAAAAATACATATTTTAAACAATGGTATGCTAATTACTTTTAAGCTAATAATATATATTTTAAAAGGCCAACTTTATACACAATAATAAGTTTGAATAAAAATTGATGTCAGGAACAATCATATTTCTTTTATAATATAAATACTAGCAGTGTCCCAATGTTGTGCCTAAATTTTTTGTTCATAGCATGATATTGTTTATACTTGTTTAACCAAATTAACTATTTGGGTTAATAATATTAGTATGCATTGACATTTAGCTATGAGGTTTAAATTAACAAGCAATAAAAAAGCAACTTTAATAGTCATTTGATTTTCACATTTCTCAATAGACAACAATGCAGATGCAGTTAATGAATTTTTTTCTTAAAAAAATCCTAGATATGTACAATATACGCTAATGCTAATTAACTTACCATTTTAATGATTTCTGGATAAACCGGTTCAGTGAGTACATCACGTCCAACAGTAATATACCCAACAAGTTCATTCAATGTGGCACGTTTGATCTCCTTTCCTTTTAAGTCAGCAAGAGGGTCCATGAAGTCAAATGCAACACAACACTGACGCAGCTTACGAATGAACAAGTCTTCTTGTTCAGTAGCTGGCACATCTGTAAGAGAAAATTATTCAGAAGTAGAAAGGTGTGTCTATGTTATATGAATTTAAGAAAAATAGCCAAACCTTATTGCAATGATCTTATACTAGTGGTTTACTCTTATAGTATAGGTATAATAAAAAATACAACAGCACTGCTTATTAAGTATTTCAAATACAAACATATTTATAAGATTTTTTTTAACTGTTCAAGAAATCTAACATAATTATAGAGTGAGCAAATCCAACCAAGAAATCAATACTAGTGGCTTGTTGCAAAGGTTAATTATTTTGGTTATTAGAGTAAATTAAATTACATATAATTTAGAAAATAATTGTCTCTTATCAAACTAATATTCCTTATATTCATTATGTTATATTAACTTAAACAGAGATAATAAAGTGTTAAATCCAAAGATGAAGAGTTAACTTTAAGAATTTGTTGACCTAATTATTATTATATAGAAATCATGGGCCAGTCATTAATTTTTTTTAGTTAAAATTTTTTTTTATACTTGCTAAAGTTCCTCAATCTATAATTATTTATTTCTAAACCTAACAATTTGTTATTTATTTATTTTTAATAATTTTTATTATTACTTTATAGGTTAAGAAAATTGTAAATACTGTATTTGTTTAAATAAAAATATTATAGTTTATTTACGATTTGTTATTACACAATGTTATACAGGAACCAGACTAATAAATATTTAATGACATCAGATCACATTACATTTATTTTATGCATACATTATTTGGCTAAAATATAAAAAAAACTTGATTAAATTTACCTTTCAGTAAGGGTAGTGCCAAGAGTTCTACATCTTGTGAGTTACGATAACGGGATGACCCTTGACTCTTCTTGGTCTTTTTCTTAAGAGACCGTTTAGCAAAAGGGTCAATTCTATCAACAAACGGTGCCGAAGACATGTTTCTAATATAAAAGAGTCCGTAGTGACGACAAGCCGAGAACGATCAATTTAAAACTTTGCGGAATTCTAAAAGATGCATGTTCCAGCCAATTCAATAAGATGAACGAGCACTCCTCGTTAAGTCAAACCAAAATAATTGAGCCTAAATAAACATTCCTTCGTCACTCATGACGGTAATGGAGTGATCACACTCAAGCCATCTTTTTGATACTTTTTATGTTTCCACAAAAGTTACGTAATTTTAGAAAGTCTTTATCACAAAAATATCACTAATATAAATCAAAATAGGTCCTGTCTCAAAAACAGATTTATAATATGAGGCGTGTCACAAATAGCAAAAGCTAGAAGTCAGATAGTATACATAGAAGCCTCGTGTAATATCAGCCGGTCACTCGATGACAATTTAATTTCACTCACTAATCGTCAATTTTGTTCAAGATTAACTAAACAAAACACTATTAAGCAAAAATAAATTATTATTTTTTGATCTTAACTATTGGAATACTTATATGGCAATGACACAGAGCAATTTTTAACACCAAAAATCTATCACCGTATTCTCGCCATCGCTCACCATCCGTTTCTATTCCGACAGTGACACAAGATGCATTTTATCGCCAACCACAAATTTATTTCGATCTATCGCACGTCTACAAGAACAAAATATTTATATTTCGATTATGAGAGCAACGTAAAACGATGAATTTACAAAAAACTACCAAGTTAAAAGATTATCATCACTAGTTTTGCTGCGAAAACGCCAGCACTCAAAAGTACCTATTTCTGAAAATAGATGGAGATATAAAAATGTTCAGATAATCAATAGAGATTCTTTATAATGAATTTCACGTATTAATACTAATAGGACTTAAATTTGACATTTAAAATTATTTTTATATTTTAACGTAACAATCGATTACAAATAATCCACCAAAACGATTGGTAAAACAGAATATTTTAAAAAGGAAATGGCGGAAGACAAAATCTATTTGTGTTTAGAGACAACATATGGATGCGTTCCCAGATTGACCGAAAATTTTCAACAAACCGGTTACTGTGTCAATGATGTTATTTCTTCAAACTTATTTCATGTTACAGAAAATGTGAAGGAAACAAATAAATAATATTTATATTATGGGTAAAACCTGTTTACTCCAATTCACGGTTTCAAACTCATATTAGAAAAATACGCATAGAAAACGTATTAAAGTAGCCAGCAAAAGAATATGTTGGTCTTATATTTTTTACGGCACCTCAATGCGTAGTTTTGTCTTCCCCCTCACCCCTGGCTTTCTGTACCACACTTAAGGTGTAGAGTTTGATACTGCCGGCTGCTAGATAGCACTTAATTTTTGGATTCTGGGCTAAGTAGAGTAAAGAAGAGCGCTATCCCAGAACCCTATTTATTTAAATATTATGGATAATAAAATATGTCTCTGAGACAAGCGCTTATGTAATTATTATAAAAATAATTTAAGTGTCCTTGTTATTTCAATGAACTATATCAAAAAAAAAATCTGATTTTAAATACTTTTAATACGAATTTATATTTGTAAGTAGTTATCTAAAATATATAAATAATACGTGTCTACTTTTACACTACTCTGTGGCCCATGCTTATTTCTTACCTGTTTAAATCTCTATGAGTAATTATAATCTATCCAAAATAGTCTTCCTAGTCTGTGATACAAAAATTGGAAATACGAGTACCAACTACCAACTGCGTTTGGGTTTGGGAAAGTTGCTTTCTAAAGTCGTAGCCATAGTTGCTTTCGAATTAAATCAAAACTCTTAAAACCGAGTAATCCTACAGTGGACATAATTACGATTTCTTTCTTTTTATGTGTTGTGTCGATACTAACTGTAGCTGGTTTCCAACATGGATCTTGGTATTTCTGACAGTTCCGCCATGAATGCAAAATAAATACAAATTATATACTGTACTGTACAGGTTTGTTTAAATACTACTATTAACTTAATCTAATAAATTTAAATAACACTGTCGTAGTACCGAACTGTAACTTAATAATTTAAGAAATTAACGTGTAAATAGCGTCAAAAACGTCCATCAACGCGACGCTACGGATGACACCTTATTACTATTTATAAGAGAAAATTATGTTCGTGTATTTAAGGAACATATGTACATGAACATAAAAAACATAATATTCTACTGACTGTGTACTTAATAAAAATAGATGATCACAAAATATTTCCCATATTACACAAACTAATGTTATTAAAATGTTTGTTTCAAAATAAGATAATATGTAGGTAACTGTTTACATGAAGACTGATGTAATAGATTTAGAGGCATTAACTTTTGTTTGTATTTTAGGAGCTGGAAGTGTACAAGTATAAAAGAAGAAGCTTCACAATGTTGAGAGGTGGGCGTGGTGGCCGCCACAGTCCAGAGCTGTATCCTCATACTCTGAAGTGTTCCAACGCAAGTGACACCAGTTCAGCATATAGCGGTAGTGACACTATGACATCTGTTCATAGCTCCTTAGACATGGATATGGAGGTAGATCTGTCTGGTCTCCTTGAGTCTATAGTGGACTCTGATGAAGAAGAAGATTTAGAAGAAACTATGGACAGTCTCACTGTTCGTGATCCAGTCAGAGAATGTCTCGAAAAAGATCCCAGTGAAAGAACTGAAGAAGATATTGAGATTCTTTTAGAATTTACTCAACATTTAAAAGCATTTACAAATATGACACTTACTGTACGAAGAGCATTATGTGCTGTAATGGTATTTGCAGTTGTAGAGAAGGCAGAGACAATTGTAATGCAAGATGGAGAGGAACATGACTCCTGGTCAGTATTAATTAATGGACATGTTGGTATTGAACATCAAAATGGAGAAGTTGAATATCTGAATGTTGGTGACAGTTTTGGGATGGCTGAGGCTACCCTTGAAAGGCTGTACCATCGGGGTGTTATGACTACTAGATGCAATGATTGCCAATTTGTGTGTGTTACTCAAACAGATTACTACCGTATTTTACACCAGGGAGAAGAAAATATAAAACGTCATGAAAACGAAAATGGAGTTGTGGTATTGGTAACAGAGTATAGGGGTGCTGCAGGTGAATCTGGTCATCAAGATGGACATGTAGTAATAAGGGGAACCCCTGAACATTTGATGTTACAACTTATTGAAGATAATTCACGTGACTCAACATATGTAGAAGATTTTCTATTGACTCACAGAACATTCATTGAAAATCATTTAGTAGTTGCCAAGCAATTACTTGCCTGGTTCTCAGAACCATCTGTACGTGATAAGGTCACAAGGGTAGTGCTGTATTGGGTGAACAACCATTTTACTGATTTTGAAACTGATCCAAATATGATGGAATTCCTTGAGAATTTTGAATTGGCCTTGGAGCATGAGAAAATGGAAAGCCAACTGAGACTGTTAAATATAGCTTGTTCAGCTAAAGCTAGAACAAGAAGTGTTACTTTGTCACGCCCCACAAGAGATGAGCCGCTTAATTTTACTATTCTAGGGGGATATGAAAGGGGTTATGGTATATTTGTATTAAAAGTTGAAAAACATTCTAAGGCTGAGGAAGTGGGCTTGAAAAGAGGTGATCAGATACTAGAAGTTAACAGTCAATCATTTCAACATGTGAGTCATGCAAAAGCCATGGAAATTATTACAGGATCTACACATCTAAGTATAACAGTAAAAAGTAATTTCTTAGCTTTCAAACAAATGTTACTCATGCCAGAAAATTCTCCTAGACAGAGGGGAGGTACAAATATGGTCAGATGGCAAACAGATCCAAGAGCAAGACTTTCAACAGCAGAATTACTTAGCGATGATCCCATCACCCTGACCCCAATTTTCCAATCTCCAATAAAGAAAACGCAACCAGAAATAAATGTTAAAAAAGAACCACAAAAAGGATTTATGACACTGGGTCCAAAAAGACTTCATAAGGCTTTAATGAAAATGAATATTCTGCCAAAAAATACCATCACTGATGGATTTCACAATGACGACAGCATACTTTCCAATACAGATGCTTTAAACAAAGCAAACACAAGCACTTCATTTTACAGTTCCCACAGTAATCCAGATCTTATTTCAATTTGTTATGATGATTATCAGTCATCTGATTACCCTGAACATGTGCTAAAGGTGTATAGAGCTGATCAAACTTGTAAATATTTACCAGCTCATAAAGAAACTACTGCCAGAGAAGTAGTAATGCTTGCCTTGCGAGAATTTGGTATTACAGAGCCAAGTTCAAATTTCTCCCTCTGTGAAGTTTCTGTTGCACAAGGAGGAATAATTAAACAGCATAGGCTACCTGATCAGTTACAAAACCTTGCAGAAAGAATCGGATTAAGCTCTAGATATTATTTGAAAACAAATGGTATTAGTGAAACTTTGGTACCTGATGAAATGGCTCCGGAATTACTCAGAGAGAGTGTTGTACACTTCTTGCAACTGAATGCTGTGGAAGTCGCTGTCCAATTGACATTACAAGATTTTTACATATTTCGACAAATAGAGAGTACTGAGTATGTGGACGATTTGTTTGAACTAAAAAGTAGATATGGTACACCCATGCTATCACAATTTGCAGGTTTGGTAAATAAAGAAATGTTTTGGGTCGTAACAGAAGTGGTTAATGAGCAAAATCTCGTCAGAAGGTCTAGAATCATAAAACAATTTATAAAAGTTGCAAGGCATTGCAAAGAGTGTAAAAACTACAATTCTATGTTTGCTATAATTTCAGGGTTAGGTCACGGTGCAGTTTCTAGACTTAGAATGACCTGGGACAAATTACCTACAAAATACATTAAACTGTTTACTGATTTACAATCATTTATGGACCCCTCTAGGAATATGTCCAAGTACAGACAATTAATTACAGCTGAACAAGGCAGATCACCTGTCATTCCCTTTTATCCTGTAGTCAGGAAAGATCTGACATTTATTCATCTTGGAAATGACACGAAAGTGGAAGGTATGGTAAATTTTGAAAAATTGCGCATGATAGCCAAAGAGGTAAAGACACTCACTAATATGTGTAGTGCTCCATACGACTTGCTAACATTACTGGAATCCGGTAAACAACCTCCTTCCAATGCTATGGTGGCATTGAACCAATTAACAACTGGAGTTCAACAAGGCCAAGTTACAGTAAAAAGAAGAAAGAAGTCCTCCAATGTGCCAAATCCAAAAAAGATGTTTGAGGAAGCCCAAATGGTTCGCCGGGTAAAAGCATACTTAAATCGCATGCATGTGGAAACTGACGAGGAAAGACTTCACGCTCTGTCTTTAGAATGTGAAGGTTCAGGTCCGGCACCTTCCCTGCCACGCCGTCGGCACCCATCACCATCTCTCTCTACTACGAGCAGTGCATCGTCGGCCAGTGAAAGTAAAAAAGGCTTCGCAGGAAATAAATTTGGAGCAGCCTCACCTCAAGCCGTGAGAAAGTTATTGGCTCTATCCGAACCTGCCAAAACCCGTCCACACCAGCCGAGACCTCCGCCACCCCCAGGACCTTCCCCGTGCTCTCATAGAAGAGACGGAACCGTGGCGGGAATTTGTTGTTCCCGCGCCGCACACGAGAGATCGCACTCGGACACGCCTACGCCGCTGCCCGTTGATTTATCAGCGGAAAGTAGCAGTGTGACGTCTTTAATAAACTTGCCATTAAGAAAAACGGGATCGGCCACTTCGAGCGACAGCGGGCACGGGTCGTGCACGACGGCGAACTGCGTTCGGCCGATACCTCCTCCGCGAATGCCTTACACGCTCGCCGCTCAAGTGGCTCGCATCGATCGCCTGAACCGAGCTCATTCGCACGAAGGTGTCACTCGTTCTTACGATTACTATCACGACGCGCCAGATGACGAAGACGACGATCAACAAGTTTCTGCAGTGTAAAGTTCTCAATACTCCATTTCCAAAAATTTATATTTTAGTAATCTCACTTGAGTAGAAGCATGACATAAACGTTTAATATATTATACTAAAATGTAGTTCATGTTTATATTCCTTATCTGTAAGGTTAAAGACTGTCTTATTTAATTATTTTAGTGTTTATTGTAATATTACATAGTAGCCATGCCTTTATATATATTATTAATATTATAGATATCGCGACCCACCATGTTCCAGTTATGACTAGAAATATTAGAACTAGAAATGTTCTTTTCGGGCATGCCCTAATGCACCTTAAGGATGTATTTTACATTCCGTTGTTTGTGTATATTTTTTAATAATTCGTAATGTAACGCGCAACTTAGACCAAATAATAATTAACGTACCTTTTATAATAGTGGTTCAAACGGAACGCGTAAAACGGTGAAGGTATAATAATTATTGATTGACGTTTCTGTAATAGGTGACCGTTCTTTAAATTATGTACCAGCTGTACGCATACAGTTATCACATATTAACGTAATAACGTTTAGTGTATAATTATTGTGGCATATCATCCTTTCGTTTTACTAGATTTCTTGGTAGCTCTGTGGACCAATTTTAATTTGAAAGTATTTTCTCCTTTTCTATTGTAGCGATATATGTATAACGTTATAATAGCAACGGTTATAATTTTCATAATGTAAATAATAAAAGTAAACGACGTTCTTTATTAAATATTTATTTACATAGCCATAATTTAATATTTTACAATATGATTCATCTTCAAATATTTTCATATCATGTAATAAAGTATTTAAAAATAAATCGTCTTTGTGAATATTATCGAAACTGAGCTAAATAATCTAATTCAAGTGGATGAAGATTTGGACTTGGAATCACTAAACTGTGTAGAGGGGGTCCTAACTCATGGTTTTGCATCTCCTTCAAGCTCCGCACGGTTATTCTTTGATCTGGTGCACCAACTCTAGACAGGCCCACCGCTAATGTATCCTCGGTCAACCCTGATGAAAAATATTGACATTCTTTAATGAGTACAACGTTTATACCCGTCGTGTACATAAAGAAGCGCGTGTATGATATCTTTTAAAATATTTGTCGATATTAAAATGTGTCAATTTTGTTGCAATAAAATAGTCTTTAATATTATTAAACAATACCATTATACATCATTTATAGGTAGCGCGCTTAAAAGAAACCTTCGATAAAAGAATATTTTTATAGTAATTTTAGTATTGGATGTAGATAATAAGATTGATGTTATAGATTTCATAGTTAACCTGAGTTTAGCTTCTCCTTTATTATATGTAAAAGTTGTGTTGATGCCTCACAAACGGTCATGAACTTTGGTTTCATGTATTGCCTTACTTTTTTTGTTAGTGACTCTTCAGTTGGCTCCTTAACTTTTATATCTAAAAAGAAATTGTTAACTGAAATTAATATTCAAACAAGTAATCATTTATATTTTTATCATCATTATTGGTATAATATATCAATCATGTAACTACATGCTACTGCTATTATATTCTAAAGTACCTAATAGACATAAAGTGTGCAAATTTCTTGTATAATTCCCAATAATTTTTTCATAAAAGCTGTCTGGTTTCCATGTTTCGGTCCAATAAGGTATTGAAATAGTTTCACCAAAATTATATAATTGTAAGCCACAACAGCTAACAGCATTCATTATAGATGCATTATGTATAATCTGGGGAGGAAAGGAATAATAATGAATAAGATAAAAAAAATATTGGTATTGCCTTAAAATAATATTTTCTTATAGGAAGTTTCCGAGATAATATTATATTTAGATACAAACAACACTAACTAAATTGATTTGATAGATTTATAAATTATACTTTACCTCAGTTCTAACACCTAGCTGTTTGGCACGTAGTAACATATCTGTATGAGTTGTGGCTCCTAAAGGATCACCAACCACAAGAAGAGCTATGTCATTATCTTGGGCTTCCATTAAAAAACTGTCAATGTGACTTTCACAAAGTTCACGGTCAGCAATTATGATAGGTCTTCCATAAAATTCTTCCTATAAAAATCTCAATTTAAAAGTATTTAAAAAGGGCAGGGCAACCCTTATAGTTCAGTCCCTAGGAACTAGTAAATAATGGTAACCAGTTAGTAATTAATATTATGTTCTAATTTGAGTACATCTATCAACTATAGTCTATAGATATATAATAAATAAACAATAAGTTTCAAAATAAATGATACAATAGAACTGCACAGAATGCAGTTGTGGTCTCCAAAAATAAACAATAATTTTCTAAGTTGCAAACTAAAATATTCAATATCATTTAAGACATGCAATAGTGTTATTTGATATCAAAGTTGTAAAAAATATTTGCCTTGGTTTTCATTGTATTTTATAACTTTTAAACAATTCTGCATACTACGTTAATAACAAAGGGAAGTAATCGCGCAATGGACATTAAGAAACTAGTGAATTACAACTTACCAAAACATTGTGACCAACAGTTAATATTGATGTGTATCCCTCCAAAAGTACTTTGTCACATTTTTTTACAATTTCTAGCCCTTTTACTGTTATATCTTTAGCATTACCTAGGCCAAGTCCAATTAAATAAAACATACTTTTAAAACTGTTTTTAATTCAGAGTTTATAAAATCACCTAGCTTATATATATCTATCTAATATGCAGTATCCGAAATATTTTCTTAATGTATAATGAAAATAACCTAAATCGTAAATCATAGACTACATCTCTTTACGTTTGACAAAAATATTCGTTAAGTGTCATAATAAGTATTACTCATCATATGTCAGTGGCAAATCTTAAAAATTAAATAATCTGTAACAAATAACAATGTTTACAACTTTTAAATTCAGTTAGCAAAAAAAAGCGCGGGAAACGTTGGTCGTGGCGGGAGTGTTTTTTCTTGTGAAATTTTTAAATTTAATTTAACTTGTATAAAAGATCAGTTTGTATATATTTGTATGTAGTAATTTAATTTAATAGTTTAGTTTATTCATTTGTGTATATATTCTACAGTATCTGGTAAGTTTGTATACTTTTTCCTCAAGGCCTGGAGTCAGGCGAAAAAATGGACGAGCCCGCGGATATCGGGGGCTCGGCCCCCGAGGTAGCTTGTAATATTATAATAGAAAATAGATTTTCTAAACTGGACGAGTCCAGTGTAGATACAGATGTGGATCAACGGAATGACCGAAAAAGAATGCGACTAGGTAAAATTTGCAAACACTGCAACAAAAGGAAAAAAAGATTCGATCCGACGCGTCGGAACAAACAAAAGGACACTGATTGTTCGTGCCAAATACCGGAAATTGAAATTCCCTCAATATATACTGGGCTTAAGAACGCTAATGCTCTAGGTAGTTTTCAGAACAAAGTAGACCGTGTAGATACTACAACTGTTAATACCCAACAGACCCATCACCACCATCAGATGTTTCTCAGTCTATAAAAATCCTAAGGCCGAACGTTTTATGAGACCTATGACATAGGGCCATTCGTAGTTCATGCGCAAAAGTTTCTTCAGATACGACATCTCCTCCCTACACCCCGTCCACTTTGGGTATTTCCTCAAGGAAAATTCTTTTAAAAACATAATTAATGGTAGCATCAAAAGATAGGCAGAAACCGAATTTCCTATCATTCTCAGACTACAAATGTGCAAACAATTTATTAATAACCCTTGCCTGGCAAGAAATTTACAAAGCTTTTATTCTTCCTCATTTAATGTGACGAATGGGCCTGGTACAACTGTTAATACCCAACAGCACCCATCACCACCATCAGATGTTTCTCAGTCTATAAAAAATCCTATAGGCCGAACGTTTTATGAGACCTATGACATAGGGCCATTCGTAGTTCATGCGCAAAAAGTTTCTTCAGATACGGACATCTCCTCCCTACACCCCGTCCACTTTGGGTATTTCCTCAAGAAAAGTTCTTTTAAAAACATAATTAATGGTAGCATCAAAAGGATAGGCAGAAACCGAATTTCCCTATCATTCTCAGACTACAAATGTGCAAACGAATTTATTAATAACCCTTGCCTGGCAAGAAATAATTACAAAGCTTTTATTCCCTCATTTAATGTGACCCGAATGGGCCTGGTGCGAGGCGTTCCCGCGGAATGGTCTCCCGAAGAGACATTAGACAACATCTCTCTGCCTGTAGGCAGCGGAGGAATTATAAAAATTAGACGACTAAATTATAAAGTACGTAACAGCAGCCCTCCTGAGTGGAAGCCATCACAGACTATTGTAATAACTTTCGATGGTCAAACCCTACCTAAACACACAATGCCTTACTTTATGCATATCCCACTTAGTGCTAGCCATGTTGCCGGGGGGGGGGGAAGAGGATAATTTTAACCCCCGCCCCGTTGTTACACTGGGGCATGCGGACATGCAACATACAAGATGATGCCGCGTCTTGCTGTCTATGTTCTGGTCTACACTTTGCTACAAACAGAAAGTGTCCAGAATATGAACGGCAGACTAAAATTAAATTGTATATGGCTCAGAAATGTGTATCTTACGCAGAAGCAAATAAAGTATATGATCCAGTTTCAAAATCTTTTGCTGATATAGTTAAGTTTTCAAACATCCAGAATACTCCTAATTCTCCTGTCCCACATGGATCGCCTTCCTCTCCCTCGATTCCGTCGGATAGTAGATCTTATAAGAAAACAATATTTGCTAAACCAACATCCCCTAAACCAAAACGACTGGGGTATAACAAAACAGAACACTTGAATTTGATAAAGGACTACGACGCTCCAGCTCCTTCTAACGGGGTCGCTTTAATAAACAGTAACGTTAACAATAAGGACATAATCTCTGATTTAATCCAATTTCTTACTGAAATTAAATCCAATTCTAACTCTGACAACAACGTAACTGAACAACATCGCCAAACGATTGCTTCCATAACTAAATTAAAATCCGCTTATGCGTCACGAACGCGAACAAATAATCCAGTGGAATTGCAGAAGCGCTATCTGCAATAAAAATGATTTAATCCATTTGTATAATAAATTTGAACCATTTGTCTCAACTCTGTCGGAAACATGGCTTCGCCCGGAATTGACTTTTCGAATTCCAGGTTAGGTATGTTATTCTCCGACAGCACAGACCTGGGGCCTTAGTCAAGATGCCTTAACAGTAGTGTATGTAGAACGTCAAAAACTAAATTTGTATGAAAACTTTTCGACACTAACTGTCATTTTCATACAAATTAAGTTTTCGACTTTCTACATACACTACTGTTAAGGCATCTTGACTAAGGCCCCTGACGGCTATGGTGGTGTTGCCATAGTCATTAAAAATTATCTCCCCTATTCCTTATTTTCACTTCCTCCATTCGGAGATGACTTATCAGTCATTGCTGCTATTGTAAATAAAATTTGTATAGTGTCTATTTATTTTTCTCGTCCTAATGTAAATATTTTTACGTCAAAATTTAATGCGGATATGATGTAGGTGATTTAAATCACATAATGTTTGTTTGTCCTCGGCGCGACCGGTCGGCTCTTCTCGAAGGTCTCATTTCCCTTCAAATTCCGTTCCCTTCATCCATATCAAGTTTACTTTCAACTTTACAACCCATATGTATATAAACTTTTCGCAGCTTTTATCTTAAGTAATAATATAAAATTTTAGACAATATGAACGTAAATATGTTTTCTTACACTCCTTTTGTATGTAGATTTATAAGAATTGATCTTTTATTTTATAGTTTAATTATTTTCTATTCCTAAATTCCTTTCCAGTCGATAATTTTATGTTTTTACCCGTTTCCCTGTTTTTGACCCTGGGCCACAATGCACAAACCGTGCGGGCCATATAAAAAAAAAAAACTTTTAAATTCAGTTAAGAGAGGAATGTTATTGTCTTTTTTGATAGTAGTCTGTGACACGAAAGATTAGAGATAATTAATAGTATAGAAATATACTAGCTGTCTGCTGTGTTGTGAATACTAAGTACTATAGTCGAATTTTTAATTAGACGATATCAACTGACGTTTACGGTGTTGTCAGTTTTTAATGAAATAAAAATAGTGTTGTGTTTGTCACATGATTTGTGAATGATTGAAAAAACTCCTGAATTAATAAAATTGCCTCGATTGCCTAGTGAATAGTTAACGTTGCGTACTGCCGATATCGGATACGGGTTCGAATTTTAGTCGTGCTTTGAACATACCAACGAGTTTAGTACTAAATACCAATTGTTTTTAACATTAAGGAAATCATTGCGAGGAAACTTGTAAGACTGTCCTATTCTCAATATATCATGTAGTTTATACTATAGATGTTTAATAATATAACAATTATAGGTTGGTAATGAAAATAATAAACATCGCTTATTACATAATTTGTTTTTATTCATCATCAGATAAAAAATCATCACTATCGCTTTCGGTGACATTAATAATAAATCTGTCTGAAACATTGTCGATCATGTCGTCGAGACCATACATTTTATCTTCTTCTTTCATTATGTGAGACACGCAGCTACGCCATTTATCAGGTGTGATTAGTTTAAGTCCTTCTTCAAAAAGTTTTTTTACTTCTGTCATTTTGAAGGTTTTATTATTTTTTGCAACATATCCTTTAGCCTGCGCCCATACCAACTCAATGGGATTAAGCTCACAGTGGTATGGGGGCAGACGTAAAACAATTATCTCATGCTGCGCTGCTATCTCGTCCACAACATACTTTTCGAAATGATCTTGTTTGTGCTGCCGTACAATGTCTATAAGAGTAGCTTTAACCATTGTTGCTTCGAATGAAATATTTTTGCTCGTTAGCCACTCTTGTATTTTAGGTTTAGTCCAAGACATTTTAGGCAGCGATTCTAGTTTCCTGGGGTGGTAGGGGGCATTATCTAGCACTACAACGGAATTTGGTTTTAGTTTTGGCAAGACTCCACTAAACCACTTCTCAAAGGAATCGGCATTCATTTCTTGATGATAGTCTTCTTTACTTTTTTTGGCTTCAAATATTAGTAAGCTGTCTTCTACGAATTCTTCTTCTTCCCCACCTATGTGGCCGATAATTAATCGTTTGCCCTTTCCTGAAGGCTGTTTTAAGCCAGTAGTCAGGCCATCTAGGAAGGCCTGGCGAGTCGATAACACTGTCTGGTCAATCCATGCCTTCTTCGGTGCATGACCTACAAGATAATGAAAAATAACAATTAGTTAATGAAAGTACAATTTAATGTAAAGAAAACAGAAAATTGTAATTACCTTCGTTGATCCAGGTTTCATCTTGGTAATAAATATACCTTCCTTCCCTTCGATACTCTTTAATTTTGCGAAGGTATCGCTGGCGCCATAACATAATGTCCTGTCTGTCAATTAACATGCTTTTTCTTGATTTTGTGACATATTTGAAATTTAAATGTTTCATAACATTTCTTAATGTACTCCAAGAAAAATTGGGTAAGTCTGGGTCTTCATTGACAACCTTAAGAATCTGTGAAGTAATAAAAAAACGTTTTTGAGTAAGGAAGTCTACGCAATCTAATACTTTGGTTTTACAAAGATCATTATTGTGGACACAGAATATAATGCAGTCGATGGAATAAAGTTTGTTACCTTTATAATGGTGGGTGACTCATTTGCATAAAAAAAATTATGAACTTTTCGCCTTATAGCGGCCAAAGTAAAATCGTCTAATTTATCTTTGAAATTGTGTTTCGGTCCACGTTTCTCGGGAGACTTAAATTGTTCATTTTCATTGTATTCTTTTAATACACTGTAAACTGAGGTCACGCTAATTCCCAAAATGTCAGCTGTTTTCGAAACACATTCTTTTTTTCGGGAGCCTCAATAGGTAATAGTAAAGCAGCTTTCTCCTCAAATACGTGTTTGTAGACGTTTTGTATCATAACTTTTTCGGTAACGCTTAAAGCAATCCGTGGTCTCTTCTTTCTTGGAGACAAGCTTTGGCTTGACGTGCTTGGTTGAGGATCCATATCGTTTTTACGAAACAATATAGAAATAAAAAAACACAACAATAACCACAAACACAACGTAATGAAAAACTTAACAAAAACTATAACTAAACAGCGTGAGCGCAGAAAAAACATTCGTGCTATCAGACCAGAGGTTAGAAGCCGAATGACAAACAAAATGGCGACCGACGCGCGCGGCGTCGATCGGTGTTGGCACTAGTCGCCTCGCCGCGCTCTGTATTACAGCCGTCAAAAAACTGATTGTAGTTACATACTACTAGTACCTAACTTATATCAGAAATCTTTTATACAATTTTAAAATAGTAATAATATTATTTTATAGTTTGAAATGATTAACTATTCACACTCACTCATTGTTCATTCATCTGATTGAACAAGAACTGAATGTATCACTATTACTTTAAATGTGGCAACATTATTTTACTAAGTGACATTAGCTACTGTCAGATAGCTTCGTCTAATTAAAAATTCGACTTATAACTACTACATATTATTGATAACTGATAGTAAAGTGTAAACGCTTTTATAGATTAAGTAATGCTTTACCAAGTATTTCGCGTTCAATTGTAGTTTTAGATGATATATTTTTTACCTCTCTTACATAATATTATCTTATTTATATTGAAGGTTTAGAAATGATTTATAAATGGTGGCATTCATTTATAAGAAAAAGAACAAAACCAATTCCTGAAGACTTTGCAGTACTATGGAAAAAACGACTGAGTTTAGTTTACGGATTTCTTGCTTGGAATGCATTTGGTTTAGTAGTTTATTCCATTTATCAAGGCAAATCAGACTGGGCTCATTATTACGGATTAAAATCTGACGAAGATAAAAACATGTCCCCTGGTACGTAAATTATATTCTTTTTAGTCTCTAGGACACTTAATAGACCTGAAACATTATTGATTAATAATAACCAAACTAACATGAAATTTAACAAATGAAAAAAAAAATCTTTAGAGCTTTACTTAAAATTCACATTGAAGTAACAATAGTTTTGCAATTATACATTATTTTAATTATGAGTGTTTTTATAAACATCTATAGGAGTGCTTTCTTTTACAGGCCATTCTTGGGCAAATACTCTAGGTATTAAAAATGCCAAAGTTATAAGAATTTCTGGAATATCAAAAGTAGATGAATATGATATTGTTGATGGAAAAGAAGTTAGATCTAACAAGGGCAATAATTAATAAAATGGAACGGTGTATATAATAATTTTGTAAGCAATAATTTATTGTCCTGTTATAATACAATTAAAATTAGAGGTTTGTATAAAAATATATTTTTATTTGATTTTTTTCCAATTTGTGGACAGCATTTAAGGCACTTTCTTCATATCTCAAATTTTACCAATTGGGTAAAATTTGTTTAGTTTATTTAGTTTTATCTAAAATCACAGTTTAAATATTATTTCAAAATTTAATTAGAATGTGTACTGTATGATTTAGCTCGTCTTCTTCTTTCAAATTCTTGCAACAACGCAGACCTGAAATGTTTTTTATACTGTAAATGTATTTATTATACTGAGCAGGAAAAGTGATTTATTTATATTACACATTGAACTAAAATTATTCATCAAATATATAATAACATATGTTTCATTAGTTTTCCAACATTTATTAAAGTAGTAATAACATTTTATAAAAAATATTTGGCTTACCTATACTGTTCATATTTCATTACAATCAACTGCAATTCTTGCTTGTAAAGACGTGTCAACATATCTGAATAGCAATCTAATTCACTCAGTCTAAACATGTTCCAATGCAGTTTATGATCCAACTCTTGATCAGCTGTAAACAATAACTGTATTTAAAATATATTTCATGGGCAAGGGAAGGGTAGACAATAGACATTAGAGGTTGAAGATATATTTTAGTATAATATACTTTCTAAAAAGAATACTAAAATAATTGGAGAGGGACAAGATCTATAAAGAGGATAATAATTGTTTTCTTACCTTTTGAATAAACAACAAGCCAGTGAGGTATCTCTTCTAAAAGATATGGTGGTACTAGAGTAGGGACTAGTGGGCTTACTAAATAGCAGCCTCCCACTAAACATGGATGTGCGTATGTAGTCTGCTGTGTGATTTCACTAAAAAATCACAAATTACAATTGGGAGCAAGTTTAACATTTAATATCTTAATATTCAAAATTATCATTGAGTCTCATACTTAAAATAGTAAACTCCATGTTGTGGTGTTGAAACACGTTGCCAGGGTCGAGGCACACTTTCTAATGGATGAGTCCAATGTGTTGTTTGAGTATTGTGGTCCATATAATAACGTCGGCCACGGAGTGTCCTGTCAGCAGACCATCCAGGTGGCAAAGGTAGGTCACACTCATCGGATGCTACCATATGGGTTATAATAAATTAAAACATAATTTATTTTATGTATTTTCAATTTGATATTGATCTTTTTTAAATTATGACTTACTTGCATCATGTCTATAAATTTTGTTTGTTTTTTTTTTTATTTTAAAGATGTGAAAGCTCTTAAAATGTAAACATTTAAATGATACATGTCTACTACTTTGGAGATAAATAACAACATAATTTGATGACACAGTTGTAACACATAGAAAGAAAATTCCCTATTCAACCAACATATTGATAGAATAGAAGATATTGCGAAATATGAAACTAACCTTGACTGGATGAAATCAAATTACCATGACTTTTGTTATGATATGGTAGTGGTGAAGCATTTACATAGTTTGTATATATTGGAGATCCTTGATTTGTTGCATTATAAGCTTAAAGCAAAAGACAATGCTTTATTAATTGTACAATATCTTGTAATTATACTAAAATACTTTGCACAGATTACTTACACTCAGTAGCATGAAGTCTGATAGAGTGTGGTGACGGTGGATGATGTCTAGAAGCCAGACTCAAATTTGATGATATTCTTTGCATGCTTGTCTCCCTTGATGAATACTGTTGCTGTTTTTGTTGTTGAACCTGATTGAAATAAAAATGATTACCAGATTTTATTAAATTTAAGCTACAAAGATACAAAATTCTATTCTAATCTATTATCTTAAATGAACTTGGTAATTATATTATATCTATATATATATATATATAGAAAAAAGATGTAAGATTTATTATTCCCTTATGTAAAATATACTGGTTTTTACATGCCTACATGGACACCAAGTAGGACCAGGGCCTTTAAAAACTTGTATTAAATGATACCATGGGTATTGTTTACTACATATTTAAAAAGATAAAATAATTTGTCATTAATTACTTGTTGTTGATTCTGATATATAGGATCCTCCTGAGTTTGCTTGTAATATCTGTAGCTGCTCTGACGGCTAAATGAATCATCAATATCATTTAGTGTTGAATGTGAAGCCTAGAATTCATTACAATGTCTTAATTATTAGAATCTGTGAGTCATAATGTTAACAAAAATATTTTCTATACAAATTACCAAAGTAGGATCTAAATAAAGTTGGGAATTATAATTGCTGGCTACACTACCAACTTCACTTCCTGTAGACATATTAGCAAACCTGAAAACACATTATATGATGAGATGTGATTAAAAACCCTAACTGTAACATTTCTGTGTTAAATATAACAAAGGGACTCATACAAGGGATGTTCAATAAATATAAATAATGCAATACATTCTTCATTCATTAATAAAATAAATAGGCATAGCCCAGATATTAGATATTTTTTTATTTGCTTATCAGTATTCCTACAGCTACTTATTATACAATATCTAAACAGTTACATTATACACAAAAGCCAAAAATTGAATACACATTCAAACATAAACCACAGTTAACAATTATTACCTAGTTATACAAAAAAAATCAATTTTATATATAATAAATTGTAAGATGCATTGATCATTATAATATTTTTAATATAATAACAAAGCCATTATGTCTACTAAAGGATACCAGAGGATTTTATATAATTTTTTAACCATTTTTTAGTTATATTAAATATATCTATTTGCTGGTAATTTATGTTATAATCTGAAGGTATACTATACATGAATAAGTTACGTAAATAGTTTGGATTAGACCAAGGATTTTAAAATAGTTCAGTTTGCCTTATATTGTATGAAAAAGGGGTGTGAAATGTTAAAAGTGGCAATAACTCAGGACATATCACACAGTTCTACATCACTTTTCAATTTTACCTTGTACCTTCAAAAAGTCTTAATACATAATGGGATAACTTGTAAACATTTTCTGATTATCATTTAAATAGAGCAACTGATTAAAACAAAGGTTGTAAATCAAAAAGGATTCTTAGCAAACAAGACCTTCTAAAATTCATAAAAGCTCAAGTAATTGTTAATAATATACTGGAAATATAAACAAAAAATTATATTTCTACTTTATACAATGTATGTATGCTTATGTCAAATGTTATGCAATGGTAATATAATGCCAAGCAAGGGCTAATGGTAATTTGTAAGTTTTTATATTTTTTGCCTGACAACTACAAAAATTGGTCTAGCATTTTTTAGATTAAAAATGAAAATTGAAACTGTAAGCACTTATTAAGAATTCTAGTAAAGTATTTAACATCATTTAGCTTTGTTAGTATCCTCAAACTTCCTGTATTAAAGTACTAAAATGTCTAGTCAGTGGAAACCATTACAGTATACTAGTAATTGTGTTAATTAATATATATTTAATAAAGTAATTGTTAATGTTTTTACTATACCTACAATATATTTAGTCATGAAAATACATATTTTTTTTTAAATAAATTAACTCAATGTAATCTTTCACAGACCTGTGTGTTAAGTTTGGAGATGATTCACTGGGTGTATATTTCCCAGCATGGCCACTTATAGTTTGCGCTTTACCAAACTTATTTTCCATACTTTGACTGCTATCATTAGTACTAAAAGGTTGACTGCGAGGTCTTCTACAGTTATTACCAGTAGTCCATACATTGATAACTAAAACAATATTATAATATGTTTTTTCCTCGAATCCTGGCTAAAAGTAACAAATATTTAAAATACTTACTTGGTAAGTCTGGAGGAGTATCCTTCTTGATATATTTACCAACGACACCTTCATTAATCGTTTTCTGACCTTTGCGTGATATCATCGTGATTTCAAAATATTATAATTAAAAAAAAATATACCATCCTAAAATATTCTTTTTGCCTTACAAGGTTTATTTTACAATTCAGATTTCAGATAAATATAATATAATCAAGTCAATGAAAGTACGCCACAGACTATGAATTATGAAACTGACAGTCAAGGTTATAACAGAGTAACGAGTATAACTTCTCTCGAGTCTTGACTTATAACGCTAAGGCCTCACCAAGTGACGCGTTTGTGCATTATTATCATTGATATACAAAAAACCCAAGATTAAAAAAATCCAAACACTATTTTTCATAAATATATGTTAAACATATATTATTGCAAAATAACCTTACGAATTTTAAATTTTATTAAAGATTATAATAAAGCAATAAATAGATAGGAAGATGATGGAGTGAACATGACTTTTTATTTACAACTATTTAACATAATTTTAAATTTATAAAGGTACGTACTAAAAAATTGGATGTAAATAGTTGTAAATTTAAAATAATACATAACATTAATCGTAAAGTTTTTTAAATAAAAAAATGTTAAATTTACTTACCACACTTTATATAGTAAATATATTTGTAAAATACACAAAAATTATACATAATTTATTTATAAAAAAAAAAAAAATAAATATTTTAATATGATAAAGTTGCTCATTTAGGATGCACAATAATGCACAAACGCGTAAGTCCTTAGCGTTAGACGTCACGCGCTTTCAAGTTCAAGCCCTAAACAAAAACCATGTTTTTATTTTTTAAATAAATTACAATTAAAAATATATATATAAAGTACCTTAAATAAAATGTTATTGAGTAATTAGTATATACAAGTAGCGGCACGAAACTCTAGCGCTGTCCATTATTGCGCAGAAGTAAAAAATAAGGTACCTGAGGGGGGCTAGCGGGCGCGCGTAGCGTCGATTGGCTCTCCAGTCGCATTCCGTCCCCCGCGCTACAGTACACATGCGAAGCAATCCCCTCCACGTATCGGCCAGCGCTAGACTTACGTGCCGCTGCCTATAACATGATTTTAAAAAGCTTTAAGAAGTAATGTAAAAGTAAACTGTAAATAATCAAGAATTTATCCATAAAATCATAATTACATAATTTGGTTGTAAGTTATATGGAAATCTAATTTTTAAGGTGTTTATTATTAATATTGGGTAAATGTTAGGCGAAGACAAATTTATTGATTGATATGCCATAAAAAAGACATCGTATTAGTATTACATTTTCTCCTAATTAGTTTCACTGACAAATAAACAACTCAATTCACAATAAATTATATACGTATAGATTAAGAGGTATTTATATTTTAAAGCTGAACTCAAATTTTATAAACATTGTTAACTTTTCTTAAAGACCTGTTTCATTGTTAGTTTTATCTAGTACTTAGTATTCAAACTGTCTCAATGCGCTGCATTATCTTTGGTATTTTGTGAGTACCTATTTGAAAGATCTTGAACGAATCAAAAAGTCATATTGACATGAAATAACATAGAAAATATAAAAAAGTCCACGTCCTCAAAAATGTTGATAAAGTTATTAAGTGCGGTAAAAACACTAAGGTTTACGGATATTAAACTTTCAAAGTAAGTATATACATACACCAACATTAAAATCACAACACAGTATAAAACGAAAACTGAATTCTAACACTAAATACCAATTTGGATAATATTCGTACACTTTAAAAGTTATTTATTCGGTACCTACCTACATAATATCTCAAAGGCATTGTGAAAGGTCAAATTTCAAAGGTCGCTGTGACCTTTATCATGCATGCTCATGAAAGTCGGTATCAATAGGTATCTGGTACGAAAAGCAGCGTACATACTAATATGATTTTAGACAGATTAGATTAGTCCTGTTAGGTATTTTGTTTTGCAAATTTATTTTTTACTCATTACTAATACCACCATAGTCCTAGTCTTTTTTAACGGTTGCACACTAGATATATAGTAGAGAGATAGATCTCATTTATGCAACTCACGACGGCATTTGAGAACGAAAAACATAGTAATAATGAAAGATCACAGGAATTTGTTAAATAGTTACCGAAAGAGTATCCATCTAGGTCCCAAGTTTTGACGTTTATTAAGGAAAATATTGAAATATAAATCAACAGATATGCAACACGATGCATATTTTTTTTAGTTAAGTCACTTTATTATTCTTGTCTGTACTGGTACAATTCGTACAATCGTCGTTCATAAAATAATTGAAAACGCGGCATTGCCGTGTGCGGCCACACAGCCAATGTTCACAATATTGACTGTCAGCCTCGTTTTTAAAAATGGGAAAATCTACCAAAAAGTTAGTGTATGGTTTTAACGAGTTAATGTAAATATTAGATAATAATGGTAATGCTAATATAACAATGTGTTATAGGGCTAAATCAGAACGTATAAATGCATTAAGAAAACAATATGATGCATTCCTCGAAGAAGATAGAAAACGCAAAGGTCGTAATGATTACATAATGGGATGGCTGGATAAATTCCAGACATCCTCAACAGTTTCGTCAGTAAGATTTCAGGTAAACGAAATAATATCTATTGCTCGCGGCATTACTCAAGTGGCTTCCCGTTAGGCTTTTAAAATGGTAGAAAATAACGCTAACGCTAATCTTTAAGATATTATGAATTTTGCCAAAATCCTTCCGATATTGTTATGTAACTCCTCGAAGTGCACATTACAAAATTCCAAGTATCGAACCCCTGTAATTAGACTCTGTTTTAATAATGTTTTTTTTTGTAATTGCGTAGCCTACGTAGTAGACAGTTTTTGTAAAAAATAGAGTATCATTAAACCACTAAAAATGAAGGGTTGTTTTTTCAAAGGAACGTGCAACCAGTTGTCATCAAATACGACTTCTTCAGCGACCCGAATATGACCAAAAAAACCAAAATATTTCATGCTCACCAAATATCAAGCATCCTTTGGCTGAAAACTTTGAAGAGTCTGCAATACTAAAGGCAGTTAGCCAAAAGTACATATTGATACCTAAAATTTCGCCAGAACAATCTAAATATTGCAACGAATACAAGGAAAAAACGATTACACCGATAGAGAATGACTCTGATTGGAAACGTAAATATAACATATTAGATGAATTAAAAAAAGAACAAAAATCTAGTCATTATACAGAATATATGGCTAAAGATGATACTTACAATGATTTACCAACAAAAGACGTGTTGCTTACTAATAAGAATTTTTCATTTGATTTGAATAGGGAAAGTGAACCAGTTGAAGAAATTTTATGTAATGAAAATATAAATGAGATGCCTACTAGTGAAACTCATTCAAAACAAGATATTCAATATAAATTGGATGAGAAAAATGGTTTGTGTAAGACAGACACGCTTACAAATTCTAATGAATTCAACATAAAATGTGTCCCACAAGAAAAAAAAATAGTGCGTGATTGTTTAGAAAAAAATATCTGTAGTGAAAAATTTGATATGCAAGAAACTCAGATTGAACCACAAAAAGACCACGAGATAAGAAACTCAAATAGTAAAACCCAAAAATATGATGAATCTCTAAAGGATAATAGCGATAACAAGTGCATACCATTACATGTAACAAAAGCTGACTACAATACCATAAACAATGAATTGATATCACAAAACGTAACAGCTCAACCAATAATTAATAATGTATCACAAGATTACAACTCGTCATCTATTGACTCTTCAGAAAGAAAAGAAGTAACAGAGTGCATTAATTTACCTATTGATCACCAAATAGAAGAAAATAAGGATATACATCATGAAAAAATTAATATCGAGGAACATTCTTCAGATGTTGGTGAATTGGGAATAATTTCTAAACCTTCACTTGAAATCGAAGTTATGACACCTCAAACTATTGAAAGGAATGTAGAGGACCAATCTCAGATAGAAGAATTTGAAACAGAACAAAAAGACTTATTTTATTCTGAAGACCAAAATGTAAATTATTCTTACAATGAAGAACAGGTCGCAGGTGATATTTACGAAAACAATGAACAGTATTCATATTATGAGGCTACTAAAGAAGATCCAAATCAATATGTTACAAACGTTAATGAACACGAAGAGTCAACAGAACAGTACGATCCCCATTACGAACAACAATTCAGTACATATCAAGACAATCCAATACAAACTCAATATACTGAAGACTATCCCCAAAATGAAGGCGTAGATTATCAACAACAGCAATTCTACGAAAATTATGGCCAACAACAAGCAGATACTCCTTTGGGGATTGAACAGCAAATTGATGAAAGTTCGGTATATGAAGAAAATGTAGGAAATATAGAGAATATTTATATTCAAGATTATGCACAGGAAACAATGTCGAACGAAGTATTGGAGAATGCTGTAGAGCGGCAGCTTAATATAGAAGACGGTCTGCCTGGTGGTGATGAAACGGTAGTTGCAAATATAAATGAAAAATATGGTTCTCAAGAAAAGCTTAGCACTGATTTGAATGTTGCATAAAATGAAAGCAAAGTGACTAAGGGTGATATTCAGAAACAAGACTTAGCGCGAATCATAACTTTCGTATATCAAAATATCCAGTAAACTGGCAAACGGGAGTCAAAATTAGCGCCGTCTCTTAAATTCTCGTTTCAGAATCCTACCTGTAAACTGATTTAGGTTTCAAGATAAAAACATGTAAAAGCGAAAAAACTAATAGTTCATTTTACTGTAATTTAATAAGTGTAAGATCGTTCTAAAGTCATTTGCTCTCGGCATTTTTTAAAAATATTAAATTATTAATTAAAGTAATTAATTCTGTACCTACACGTAAACATTAGGTGTGTAATTACTGATTATGTACAGTTTTTAAATTAGATGTGGTACGTGACAAATTATAAGTAATGTAATTATATAATTATTATAATTTAATAGTGTTTCATTTTTGTTTTTGGAATGAAAACTTTATCTGGCTTCACATATTACAAAAAAAGTGGCTAAGTAAGTCGGCCTTACCCATGAAGGGTTCCGGTAGTAAACATAGGTTAACATAGGTTAAGTTTCGCTAGCAAAAAATTACTACGTTTTTCATTGTTTTTATTAATGACAAAGTTATGACTGCGGTTTTTGAATATGTGCTATAGCAATAGAAGTAATAATAAATAAAAAATATATCTCAAGAAAAATCGTTAAACGTGTTCTTTGTGAGCTGTCTCATTCACACACATCTTTCATTTAACTTAGTTTGTTCTTGATCTTAGGTAGTTATAATTTTCCCACCATTGCAAGAGTAGACTAATTTAGTATAGGAATAGAGGCCGCTCCCAATTACAATTTGGAACTCCAAATTGTGTCAGCTAAAACCCTCATATCAAAATTGTTGATGTAAACCCTCAAAAACTAATTTATACTAATTTTAGTAAAATATGCATGACCCTAAAAACAATAAAAAGTAATCAATAGTATTGTATTAATTTCGTTTACTTCCTTTATTATATTTCTGCATATTCATATACTAAGAAAAAGATATGTTATACTTAATGTATAAATCTAACAATCTAAACACGAAAAAGGTCGATCGTAATTTGAAATTCTATTCATACGCGCGTTTTGGTAGTATATTAGTTAGCACAATGATATCCAGGTAGCGCTAGTGCTCTACATTGTCGAGTCTTGAATCTTTATCCTATATAATGCAATCTATGCTTGGTGGCAGACGACAGTTGGCGCACTTGACACTTGGCAGTAAAATCTTAAATCATAAATGTTAATTAGGAAAAAAGCGCGGGAAATACGATCGTAGACGGACGCGTTTTTCGATTTAATTAATTTTTATTTTCTTTTTAGGATTTGGATCAGTAGTCTAGTGTAGTTTATGTATATATATTTGTTATTCTTAGTTTTATTTAACTACACTATTAAATAGAAGTTAAAGAGAAGTTTTATTGGTAAGTTTTTTTAAATATATTTTTGCTCCTTATGGAGCCGCCTGATGACCCTGGGGGCGGAGAAGTCCCTGGGGTGGGCTGTTTAGTAACAATTTCAAATGATGAGTCTGGATTGGAAACAGATGGATCTATAAAGTCTAGCAGTGGTGCTCGAAAACGAAGAGCCACTGCATAAACATTGCACCCACTGTAATAAAAAGAGACGTAGTCGGAAACATGGGGGCAAGGAAATCAAACAAAACGAATGTCATTGCATTCCTTTAACCAATACCCAAATTAGCACTGCTCCCTTGTTCAATGAGTCACAACCCAACCCGTCACAACTTAATTCCTCTGATCAATATAAAAAGCCAGAATCAGTAGCACGTTTAAGATATCAGCCAAGTGATGCAGCACCATATGTTGTTCACATACAAAGAGTACAGCAAACTCCAAATGATAGTGTTTCAGTCCACCCAATTGCTTTTGGTCGTTTCTCAAAAAGAAATTCAATACACAATATTGTTAACGGAAGCTTAAAACGAATTGGCCGTAATAGACTGTCTCTGTCTTTTAATAATTACCAGGACGCAAATTCCTTCCTAAACAACTCTGCTTTACAATCAGTCGAGTATAAGGTTTTTATCCCAACATTTACTGTTACCCGTATGGGTGTTGTAAGAGGTATACCTGCTGAGTGGTCAGATGAAGAAATTACGGAAAATATTTATTTACCTGTTGGATGCGGTCCAATTTTAAAAGTAAGAAGAATGAGACGGCGTATCATTACTAGTAATGGCAGTGAGTTTAAGCCTACTGAGACTGTGGTTCTTACATTTGATGGACAAATACTACCTAAACGAATTTTTATTTGCTACACTGCTCTCCCAGTTGATCTTTACATTTTCCCCACAATACAGTGTTACAATTGTTGCAGATTTGGTCATGTTAAATCATTATGTAGATCAAAACCAAAGTGTTTCAAGTGTGGCCAAGACCATTCAGCTGATCAGTGCTCTATCCTAGAGGAAGATGCATACTGTTGTTTATGCCAAGGTTCCCATTTTGCCACAAGTAAAATTGTTTAGAATTTGATCGCCAAAAAGCCATCAAAGAATCTATGGCCAAGAGCTGTATTTCGTACGCTGAAGCATCTAAAATTCATGCACCTATTTCAAAAATGTCTTATGCTGATGCTTTACTTTCTTCTTCCAATGTAGGTGCTTCTACTATTTCTACTCCTCAAAATGAACAGTCTCATAAACAGTCTTTGAGTAACTCTTACAAAAAGACTGTTTTTTTTTTTTTTTTTTTTTATATACATGTGTCTTTACTAAGACATCATGGAACATTACAATCTAGCCTAACTTAAGACTAATAAGTAATTTAAGTCTAACCTAATTTATTACAAAGGATATTTAACATAAGAAAGTGTCCAATAACACTACTTACAGTCTCTATTAAAGGGAAGACACTTTGTTCTTGTGTTTTTTTTTTTTCATCCTCTTTTTTGCTCTTATTATTAAGGGGCCACCACCCCTATTCCCCTGTTTCAAAGGTTTTGTCCTTTTCAATCTTCTCACTAGGCCCGTGGAGTCAAGGAGTTGAATAGCCTCGACATTCACGTGATGGTGGAGCCTATGTTCGTGGGCTCCGGCAGTCTTTTTTATTACTGTGGCGACGTCCTCTACATTAAGGTCCCGATGGAGGTCGTTATTGCGAATAGATTTTTAGACAAAAAGGAGCTGGGGGTTGATACACAATACAACAATCTAGTGATTGTATTAATAAAGAGTTCAACCATCTTTACCCCAAAGAAAGTCTCTCATTCGCAGTGTAATGTTTGTTTGGGCGACAGCGGGAATTTATAAAAGTAGACAACGGTTGTATGACCTTTACGCTGAAAAGTCATACAATCATAATGAAGAATTTATTCTTTATGTTCGAAATTATTCGAAATTATTTAAGAAAGTTGTTAGGGAAGTCCTTAAATATCAAAAACAAGATTAAAAATAGTACCAATAAAACTAAAATGACTTGGAAGATAATTGATAGTGAAATGGAAGAGTAGGGATCGCAATCAAGACATCGAACTATGTTCGATAACACTATAATCAAATCTAACGAAGAGAAGGATTGTTTTTGATAAGACTTTTCTGAATTAATTTGATATAAGTCTCTTCAATATCTCCGCCCTCGCCGAATGGCTCAAAGATAATGTAAACGGTGCAGGTAGTTTTTCATTCCGACCCATTGGGCCGACGAATAGTGAGGATATTTAGAACCATAGATATTAAGAAACTACCGATCTTTGGGGTATTTCTGTAAAAATAATTAGTAGATAATTGATGTAATTGCTCCAAGTATAATTTTCAACAATTGTATTAAAAGTGGCGAGTTTCCCGATCTAATGAAACATAGTAAAGTTATTCCTTTATTTAAAGCAGGTAGTATGTCCCCCAGTACTTAGACCAATTTCCGTACTACCTACTTGTAGTAAAATATTTGAAAAAATTATATTAAATCAACTGGTAAGTCATTTTAACGTAAACAAATTATTACATAATAATCAGTTGGTTTTAAAGGGTCTGACAGCCGATGGGTGTTGAGTTATATAGATATATAGTTAAGGTTGGGAGGAGTGATGAGTTTAGGTGTTTTGGACTTATCCAAAGCATTTGATGGAAAGAGACCTTAATGGAAACTCCCACTATGGCATCAAGAATACCGATGAATCTTGCTTCCTATTTAACGGAAGAACTAGAAGGTGAAGGAAGGAAGAGGTTTGGGTGGAGTAGATATGGGGGTACAAGGGCTCAATTGGCCCTTTCCTCTCTTGTTAATAAATGATCTAATGAAGAGAAAAAGAAGGGGAGAAGGGCCCTGATTTTTAAAATCAAACACAAATAACAAATTTTGACGATGTGAACAATGCTCTGTCTTCGATTGTCCATTGGTTTAGTATGAATAACCTTCTACTTAATGCAAAAAGACAAAATGCATTAAATTTTGTGCAAAAAATGCAAGGGTTATGGATACTAGACCAATTATAAACGGTGAGGAATTGAATCTGGATGATACACTGTATTTCTCGGAATCACCATGGATTCAAAACTTAGTGGTCCCCTCATATTAACGGATTGGCGAAGAGACTTAGTTCTGCAGCCTAGCGGTTAAAAAATTCGCTCACTAATGATGTCGGTAAGCTAGACTTGTTTATTTTAGTTACTTTCATAGCTTAATGACTTATGGCTTATTATTATGGGGTATGTGTGATGTCGAAACTATTTTCATTGAGAAGAGGGCTATTGTGCAATCTATAATTTAAAATGTAGGGAATCTTTAGAGATAAATTAAGGAAATTAAAACTTACCTTTCCCTCAGAAAAATTATAAAATATTTAAAAAATTATGTATGTATACAAAAATAGTGATAAGTTTACTAGAATAGAACATACGCACAATGTTAATACACGGAACAAACGAGGCTGCAATTTCGTACTAGACTATCTAAAGTTAGTAATTCTTTTTGGGGAAAGGGATACTCTTCTTTAATAAAATCCAGAGGCTCTTTTATCACTGCCTTTCAATAAAT